GTTTAAATTGCTGATTCAAAATAGGAATTGATAATGAAGTAGATCGACTTGCTTGTTTGAAGTGTTTAATCGCGAACCTTTTTTGTAATGGCGAACCCACGCTTGCTGTAGCAAGAATCGTGCCTGTCAACTGTGTCAGTTGCTATGTTGCCAATACGCTCGATTTCTATCCTACGTTGTCACATGACATAATGAGCAAAAATTAATTTAACAATTGTTTAACTGTATTTAATTCTGCTGCTACAAAAGCGACCCTCGCTGTGGGGCCACCACCACGAATCCTGATGGCTGGCGCCCGAGATTTCCGAAAGCCCGTTCAAGTCCGAACATGCTAGGCTACCAGCATTAAGCCCTAAATTTGAAAGGTAAGTTCACGGAACAGCGTTTTTCTTTTTCTCCGATTCCCCAGACGACATTACAAAAATGGCGCTCGGGCAAGGACGTTTATTCTGTTCTTCTTTCAAGTTTTCACGTTTTCTTTTTCTTCGATTTCCCGGACGCCATTACAAAAATGGCGCCCGAGCAGGGACGTCTTTCCCGTTCTTCTGTTCTTTTCTTCCTTTTTTTTCTTTCAATTTCCCGAACGCCATTTCAAAAATTATTTAAACGTTGCCGATAAATATTTTGTACATTATACATGGTAGATCTTTGAACAGTGCAAATATTTTAATTGGTGGTACATAATGGCCCTAGAAGCAAAACTATAGGATTACCCTGCTTCGAGAACAAAAATATACCACCAGTCAAAATATCTGTACTCAAAGAATCACTGTAGTTTCATGATTCTATAACGTTTTCATGAAAATAATTATAAAACATTTTAAGCTAACTTGTTTCAAAATATTTTAAATTTACAATTCACAGGCTCGAAAAGTTGATGAATAAAACTCAAATGGCATATGTATTAGAGGTGTAATAAACGGTTATTTTTCTGTAACGGGTTACAACGTTTCAGTTTCACCTTGGTAATAGGTTTCAAAATGCGATTTCAAAAGGAACATGTTACTTTTTATATTTTTCATTAAAAATGCAAAATTATGATGATATTTGAAATAGTGATGATATATAATGATTTCGTTTATTAAAAACATAATTATTAACATTGGTAAACTTGAAATAAAATATTCTAAAATCAAAAACAAAACATAAATCCGAGGTAACTACTTAAAGAACAAAAAACTGATAATAATAAAACTAGAGTTATTAAATAAAATATTATATGCGAAAATGTTTAAAAATATAATTTTTATTTAAAAATGAATTAACATTTAAGCATTATTTTTTTGCAGATGCTTTTTACTGATTCCAGTTCTTCGCGCGTTTATTATAGCACCCGTTTTAGAAAATAATCTCTCGCATTTCGTTTTACAATAATATTAAATAATCTACAACAACAACAAACAGAAATGCGTGTTTGGCAAACCTGGACGAAGTATTACTCCAATTAATTTTGGTACCACCAAAAAATAATTTAAAAAAAATATGTCGACCTTACAACGTTCACTCTTCAAATAACTTTTATTTCATCTCTGACTGAATTTATATTTAAAAATGGCAAGCTTGCTTAAATGCAGGTGCACATTCTGCTTAAAACGTTTGTTATTTTACATTTCAACTGTGATAGAATTTATGTCTTAAGGCCTGGGTTTGCTTGTGCGTCTAAAAGTTGAGAAAAGTCGGCAGCCCGAGCACAGTGCAAAGGAAAATTTGAGTAGTTGATTAATTAGCATCATGGAGCTTGCATTGG